TACTGTTGAACTGTTCAAGTGTGGCAACTCACATTTGAGTGAGTCAGGTTAGTATCGTAATTAAACAACATATTGATGAATACTCATTTGTACTTGAATAACTTGTCACATTATGTTAGGTACTAGTTTAGTAAAGTTAATACCACATGTGGGCAGGGGTCCAATTAGGGTTTTCTCTGATCCTTTTCTTGCGAGAAGATCAGCTTTTTCAATCCCTGCGTGTCCTGGCACCCATTGAAATATCAAGGATCACCTTGGCTTGAAGTGTTTTGCTAGTTCAGCCACAGTTTTCTGGCAGTGTTTTACTGTTTTGGACGTGGTGCTTACGCTCCTTAATGACTTGAGAACTGCTTGGCTATTGCTCCTGATTCGGACCGTCCGATTAAGAACTGTCTTTCTCAGGATAATCTCCACGCATGTTGTTATCGCAACTATTTCGGCCTGCATGATGGTATCCATTGAGCCCAGGCTTAGACTGTACGTCTTCCCCGTGTTCTCGTAATAGATTTCCACGCCTGTGCTAATGAACGTTTTCGATCCGTCTGTATACCAGACAGATTCATAGGTTTTGCGTGTCTTCCCACAAGCTTCGCCCCTACCTCAAGGGGTTTTGATAACTCATAGGAGATACTTGTCTCCTATATAGACATATTAAAAACGACCCAAATGTCTACAAACGACATTCAAGACGTTTTTTAGACGTCTGGTCACGTGTTCACATCTTGAAGACGTCATATTTAACAAAACTCAACGTCTTTCAAACATCTTTATGACAATTTTCTAAGACATTCAGAAGATATTTTAAGACTTTGTGTACTATCTGGGTATGGGCGCAGGTGAAAGATTTTAACAATTATAATCTGCTTGGACTCTTATCAATATGATGTATTTTGTTAATTTTTCTTGTTGTGTAGGCACCCAATGAATTATCTATAATAAATGCATTCTGACACATTTATGTCTCCTTAGGATTAAAAAACAGAGTATAGATTCTAATGAAAATTTGTCCAATGAATTAGAATTCTGCTATATAAACCAGTGTAAATGAAACAAGATCGATACAATGAAGTAGGTACAGAAAAATCTCTTCTCAAACTCAACTTAACTTGATTTATGATTATCCTCAACAACTGAATTGTGTTATAGGTACCTACCTAACATATCCAAAAAAAATATGCCACAAAAAACAAACACTGTCATCTATTTTAAGATCCTGCGCAACCATATATTCCTATGAAAAAATATGGTCTTATTTCGCTTGAAAGGTAAAAAATTGAATGGGTACTTATTGCCTATATCACTGCCAAATAAACTATTTACCTGTAATGTTGGAAAATTAAATGTGAATGGACATGATGGTTTTATTTTTGTTGAAAATATATTTTTATTGTAGTTAAGTTTCAAGTAACAAAATTTAAAAAATAATCCAAGAATTTTGGGCATTAATTATGTTTTTGATGTTTCAAAATGACAACGAATTGCATAATTATTATTGTATCAAGTCCATTCGGAAAACCTTCCTGAGCACCTCTTGAGTGAAATTTTATCGACTGGATTAAACAGCAAAATTAAAAATGAAAAATTTTAAGCAATCATTTTTGTATTAGTATTTTAAGGCGCGTTCGTTATTCATTAATTATATTATTATTATATTGTGTAATGTTGTAGTTATTGTTGCCCAAAATAGATGAGATTATAAATAATAATATAAATGAATTTATTTTGTAGTTTTTTGTAAGTCAAATTTGTATTTTTTAAATTAAAATACAAATCTTGAATCATTTAACTGTAAAATATTATTCATAATAAGTAGGAATGAGACGATCTCAAAATAATTATAAATATATATTGCGCTACCTTACCTTAAATTTAATACGAAAAAAAAAAAAAGAATTACAAACCAATGGTTTGTAGGATTTAAAAGCCATATATTTAGACTTCTTCTCTGTGTAGGTTGTGGTGGTTTAGAATTGATTTATTTACATCAAAAAATTCTAAACCAATTAGTATTGGCACCAATTGCCTTCACATTTTAATGGATGGGTAAGTTAGTTAAACTGCCATTTTTTCAAAGTAACAATAACTATTTATTATAATATGGCTTTCGGTGTTTGTGAAATTCCAATAATAATTACATATTAAATTTAAGAGAATCGATTTTTTTTTTTAGTAGCTCTATCATAACATATGTATATGTTTTATTTTCGTTAAATTTGTGGCATAGTGTTTTTAATTATAAATAAAACGTACTGATGATGGTTTAAAGATTAGGTTTTTAGGATCTCTTGAGATTTGTTTTATTTAAATCAATTTTTACATATAATTATTATTACTACTATTTCCCCTCCTCAGTATCTTATAATTAAGAAATATTATTTTGCCAGATATAATTAATTAATTTAATGTTAAGAGAGTATTTTATTTGTTACATAGTTTTTATTTATGTGTACATTTTTTTTTTTTAATATTTATTCGGAACTGGATGACTCTATGAGAGTCGGAGCATTGTAAGGCCCAAATTTTATCTGCAAATTAATTAGATGCTTATTGCCCATTGAAAATCAATAAACCAGCCTGTTGGAAACTACACAAGTTTGCAGTTCTATTTAAATCAAAATTTAATTTATACAACTTGAAAGAACTATAGATTTTGAGGTGCCATTATTATAACTCCGACTTTCCTAAACCAATCCAGAACCTATTTATTTTATTTCATGACAAATGTGTTGCTCTCAGTATATATTTCGTTCACCACTAGATAGTTCAATCCATCCATTTGTATTGTGCATTAAAAATGATTACCTGAAATAACATTTTTTTTTTAGAGAAATATTTATGGAAAACTTGTTACAGATTCAAATATAATGTCTATTGCATCAAAAGCGTTTTTATTTAAAAAAAAAAAATAACATATCTATAAGAAAAAGGGTCCATTTGACTGTTATTTTGGGTAAACAACCAGATTATTGTACAGGACGCATCCAAGAAAAACAATCCCCCATTTTTTAGATTTAAATGTTGTACATAACAATCAGTTGAAAAAATGTCATTACCCGGGTCTTTCAGTTTGTTTTTAGATAAAACTGCATGATATCAGTAAACATATTATTTAACAATCCCAAAGATGGTTTTTATTTATATTTTGCAAAAAAGTATCGTTGCATTAGAGCCCTAATTTGTAGGGTTCTAGTGTAATCAGACTTAAGTCATTGGTCAGTTTTTTTTTTGCAACAAATAATTACCCTGAAAAATTTTTGTCTACCTCAACAATATAATAATCAAAAGATATTTTTTAAGGCTAACTCAGTTTTTTTTTTGTACATATATGAGCTTCTAATAATATATTTAATGTTTATTTATGTCATGACAGTTTTCCTTTTTTTCTTAAGTTAAGGAGCGAAATATAGTCAGAATTTAAGTTTTCCGCTTGAATTTTGACTATCTTTATAGGGTTTGCATCCCTTATGAAACATCATATGTTTTGAGACTAAAAATGAAAGACTTTAAAGAAAATACAGTGGTTTTTTTAAGCCTCTGTATATAGAATTAGTATTTTTGTATTATCTAATCCCTCGTTAAAGGCTTTATTAATTGAAAGCCTTTATAGTAGTGGGTTAGTTTTAATTAATTGATTTCATAATGATACCAAAACATACAATGTTTCTTTTTATTTTAATAATAAATTATATATTTTTTAAAGAGTATATTCATATACAAATTTTATTCACTTAATGTTAATTTATTGTATTTGTTAAGTTTTTCATTTATCATGTGTTTATATAAGTAGATGTATAAAATTTTTAAAAATCCCTTATTTTAGACATCAGATTTATTAATTCGTATTTTAATTTTTTTTTTAAGAATAATTAAATTTTAAGAAATAATTATTATTAAGTGTGTATATCCTAAAATAATAATAATAATATATCAACGTGAATAAAGCGGATTTTTAATTGAAAATTTATTAATAAAGCGTATTATATCATAAATCTTTTTGGGTTTTATTTGTTAGAGATACTTTTGCATTTTTTTCAAGTGGCTCCTAAGTAACTTTCTAGGATCATGGGGTGTCCTGAAAATCATGCAGGAAAGAAGCTTCTATTATATAAAGAGGATCAGAATCATTGTTTTCACTGGCGCTTCAAATAGTTCCATTTTATTACCTATGTAATTAATACTGAACGAACTTTGGTGTCTACGCACAAATTTTACGCTTTGCGCAGAATCGTGACTGTACATTGTACGGTTTCCTGCTCTGTTGGAACAGACCTAATATAAAAGCCTTATATTTTTAATACATGTAAAAGAAATCACCTGATTTCTGGTAACAAAGGAAAAGTTACATAAACTAAGCGATGATTGACAAACGATACGTTTTCGGCAACCGCGAGGGATGGGATCATTCCACTCTACGCTCTGCAGTATAGGAGGCTCCAGGAGGCCAAGTACTATTATTGTTTTGCGGGTTAAAATTACGTTGATTAAGTATGTTATAATACTGTCACAGTTTTTCTCTGTGACGGGGGTGTAGGGTGGATAGATGATGGAGAGAAACTCGCCCTGTTTTTATATAAAAAGGTGTATATTTGCTAAGAAGTTATTACGTGAATCCTCCAGGATACATGCTCTTCCGTGAGAAGGGCCACACGTCTGACGCTACTTAGGAAGGAATATCTGTTTAATGCTAATGCTACGTAGAATGTTAATCGTCGTTTAACTAATCCTCATCTAGAGGGGCTTTTCTAGGGTGGCGGTACTTGCACTAGGAAGACTTGATTCCAGAGAGGTGTTCCCAGGGTAGCGGTACTAACACTGGTTCAAGTCTGCCTGTTGCTCAGCTTGGCCCACTATTTATATCAATTTATTGCTGAATTGCAATAAACATCCGATCGAATCGGCAATTAAATTAATAAAGTTGAATACCGGGTCCTCCTTTCCTAAGTAGCTAGTTGACAATACTAATAATTAAATTCTGTTTATTAGTTAAACGTATTATACAGTTAATATACTATGGCTTCACTGTTCATTTTCTCTGGAACTTTATTTTCTCCATTTAGATCAAGTGCAATGCTTTCATAAGAAGGCGGAGGAGTTGAGGGTGGTTGCACAATAATTGCTTGATCCACATTGGCACCAATATCCAGATTCTCTGTTGGAGGACCTGGCGGAGTTACCCTTTTGACACAGCAACAGCAGTTACAAGAAGTTTCTCGAGGATCTAAAATGTACAAAATAAAATAGGTTCTAAGAATAAAATGAACACTTACATCCATTTGATTTTGTAACGCAGAAATAAAAGGCCCAAAAATCGGCTATCGACACATATGCTTGGCAACAAATGTAACATAATGTCAGGCAAAGCTCACAACCATCAGGTGAATCTGCACACATTTTTGATTTGGAAAAAATGCAAATACAATAAGTATTATACTGAAGAATTAATATAGGTTTGATTGTTGTATATATAGTTTTAACCACATTGATATTATTTATAACTATATCTTTGCATAATTTCCTTTTTCCACAAACTTTCGCTGATTAAAAATCTCCGGTCAATTATCAAATTTATTGTCACTTTATTACATTATTATTGGCACACATAGGTTTTTTAAAGCTACATTTTTATACTTTTATTTGAGTCATATACAATACAAATCAATATAAGAAATTGTTGCACTTTATTATTAAAAAAAATCTGATTCTTTATTGATTGTTTGTTTCTGAGCCATCAAACTCTTTCGTCCAGTGGCTAAAAAATATAAAAGTTAAGGACGAAAAGTATAAAAATTTCAAAATTTTTGCAACCTTCTCTTGGTTGGTTAAAAGTTTAGGTTGTTCAGTTATGGCTTGAAGTTCTGCTGGATTATTTTCAGGTTTCTTCTTCTTGTTTTCAGTGCAGCAGCAGCAACAGGAATCTCCGTCGGAAGTCGTATTTGAGTTATCTGAGCAACCTATAACAAGAAAAAATAATCAATTTATATTTTTGTACTTTTTTGATTATTATTGTGGCAAAGATTGATAAAACAAATTAGTTCAGCACAAGGCAAACTTTGCAACACAGCAGTGGCAAATGTCTCACAAAAATTTGCAGCAACAATTGTCACATAGATATATATTCTCCACAGTTAAAATCACATATTCTTCACAGCAATAGTCACATTCTTCACAGTCATTATCAAATTTTCCACAATCGCATATTGTCCACCAGTCACAATTACTATCCTCACAGTCACAATCTCATTCACTGTTACCTACTCATTGTTAAAATCCACTTCTGACTTTCACGTGAATTATGAAGAAATGACTTCTACATTAAACATAAAGTAATGCGGTTTTAGATAAATATTTTGGGTAAATTAAACTAAAACTACAACAGGAAGTTAAGATTTAATTTTGGTAGACTTGCCAGATACTTAGCCAGATATCATTGTTTGAATTCCTTTTACAGAGTGATTTGTATATTAGCAATTTCAGCAGATGCGGTTATGATAAAATCACCAAATTAAATTGGAATGTTAGTAAATTATAGAGCGCCTCAATACACGCTTTGCCACAAGAATCTCAACTTCAACTTGAGAAGCAAATAATTGTATTTGATTTTTACTGGTAGGTACTCGGGTAGGTATCTAGGCTACAATCCTGCTACAATCTTGTATTAGGAACTTACTTTCCAGTAAACAAAGATTCCAAATGGCAGCATCGTTAGGATTGCAAGAGTCACAACATTGACAACAATCATTGCAGTCACCACAGTCACAATCTCCACAATCACCACAGTCACAATCACCGCAATCATCGGACATTGTTTTATTTTTTTCAGACAAATCAATGAGCCACAAAGTCTTGCTGATTCAGAGAGCTCCAGCTTATACTGAATTCAATTTTGTTTTGCTTTATCTTTATCCTGTGTGTCTAGAAATTCCGGATTTTGGCAAAAACACCCATTAATCTTAAAAATTATGAATGGGGTTTTCCTCAAATCCAGTCGATATTTGCCTCGAATGTATGCGAAAAAGAAAAGGACAAACTAAAATCAGCTTTATTATTTCATGAGAAGAGGATTTGCGGGATTTCCAGCTGCTGATATCAAGGTTAAAAGCTCGATTGCTCGATGGTTAAAAAGTCTGGTGCCACCGAGGCGCCGATCAGTGGAATTTTCGCAAATATACAGAATAGTAATGGAGTTTTTGGTTTTCGACTGAATTCCAAGAAATTCCACAAAAGATTCCAAAAAAATGCTAAGAAATTCTAAAAAATACCAAAAAATTCACAAAAATGCTTTTTTGAATTTTTTGGAATTATAGTATATGAGCACGAGCACTCTAACTTTTCCGAGCCATCTAAAGCAGGGGACGCAGTAAGCTCAAATCATAAGTACAACATGGATTTTTTTTTTGCATTTTTTTGAAATTTTTTGGAATTTTTTGGAATTTCTCGGTATTTTTTGGAATTTTTTGGCATTTTTTTGGAATTTTTTGTGCAATTTGTTGGAATTAATAAGGAGGAAACGCTTTATAATTTTTTTTGAAAATGGCCACCGAACGTGATGGTAATCTATATAGAGTCCGGATTAAAAAGCATAAAAAAAAGTTGAAATAAGCGCTTAAAAAGCATATAATTTTCCACAAAAAAAGCATGGAATATGCATGAAAAAGGCAAAAAAGGCAAAAAAAGTGAAATAAAAATTTATTGTTTATCTATAAAATACATAATAAAAAATATAATAAGCAAACATTGAAATAAACAAAGTCTCTGATGAATAAAACAATAGCTATTTTCCTAGCTATTTTCCCATCGAGTGCGGGAAGAGACATTTCCGGCACCAGGGTGCGAAGCGCCCGAGTGCCGGAAATTTCTTCCCGCAAGAGTTAGGAACTATAGTTTTTCTACGAGCATACTAAAGCTGATGTAACGAGAAGTTTAATTTGAATAAAATGCGATTGTGCAGAAGGTAGAATTAAAAATGTATTGAAAGGTATTTATAAAAAAAAGGTAAAGGTATTAAAGGTAAAGGTATGGGTGTATCAACAATACAAACAATTCCATGTCACAATGATTATTTCAAACTCTTCCCGCACTGAGTGCGGGAAGAAATCTCTTCCCGCACTGGTGCGGGAAAAAAGTCTTCCCGCACAACAAATCGTGCGGGAAGAGTTATTTCCCGCACGCTCGTAGAAAAAAATAGTTTTTGTAGAAACAAGCAATAACTAGATGTTGACTTAAATGTTCCATAACAAAGTTCTATCTTCTGTCACTTAAGAAGTTTTTGTAGTTGGAAAAATTTCTTTCTACGTCTATACTTGTCTTGTTATGGACTCATATTTGAATTTTGTCACCACATATCTGGGTTCATAGGGTCGGTTTCTCAATAGCGAGTCACCTCCGGGTTGGTTTTAACTCCAAGGTAAACGTGCCCAAATGGAATGTTCACTCTGGAAATATGCTTAACATGGGGGTGACTTGATATTGAGAAACTGGCCTTGATTTAGTACTTCCTACCTGAAAATAACCATCTACTTTTGGGCTGGGGTTTCACGCGTATTATTTTCAAAAGAGAAAATATAGCGGGCAAAACTTGCGAGACAGAAGGTTTGTTCATTTGCGATATTGATATACTTTTGCAGTACAAAAAATCTAAAAAAGCTGTAAATAAGCACAAACCCATAAAATAAGCATAAAATTTGAAAAAAAGCAAAATAAGCATTAAAAACAGTGCATTTTTGAGATTCTTTTTGTCTAATTCGTCAATATTTTGAGTTGTCTTATAATTGCTTGTAATATTAACGAAAAGCAAAATGCCTTGAAATCCGGACTCTAGTAATCTACCATACCCATACAGCTAGGGTTGCCAGATACTTGAGTTTTGAAAATAGGAGACCCTGAATAAAATTATATGAGATTGGATAATAATATATGAGAATATTTTATGTACCTACTGCAAAATGCCCAAACCCGAAAAAGCTCCCATCTTGACAATTAGCTATGATTTTGAGCAGATTTTGGAATGTATTGCTGAACATTCTTTTAGGTAGGCAAAGGTGGGCACAGTTAATCGAAAAGTTAACTTCGTTAATCGTTAATTCGCTACTTGAAAAGTTAACTTCGATAATCGCTAATCGTTAAATTTTTGAGAATATAACGCAAGTTAAAGTTATCGTTAAGAGTTAATCATTGAAAAGTTATACTGATGTTTGAAGCTATTTATAGGTAATAGATAATTGAAATAGAATAGGCTAGGCTAGGGTATAGTATTTTTAATACCTATTTGGAAGTACCAGTCGTTTCAGTGATTTGTGATTGGTTGGTAATTTTTTGTTTCATCTGATTCATGATTGAGGAACAGGGATGATGTTATTCCAAATGGGTATTAAAAATACTATACCTACACTCAACAGTTCCAAACTGCGTAGTGTAGCGAACTGAAATCTTTCTACGCCTGTGTGAACTGTCCCGATTGACCTTGACGCGCAATTCAAGTAAACAAAATGACGTCATTTACGTACGTAACGGACTAAAGTTAACGGAAGTCCAATGTAACGGAAGTTAAGAAAACCGTTAATATTTTTTTAGGTTAGCTTAAAAGTTAAAATTAGGCAATTTTTTTAACTTCGTTAATTAACGGATAACGGATTAACGGTTTTCTGCCCAGCTATGTAGGTAGGTAATTATGGATACGCTTCCTGGTCCGTCAGGCTCATTTCTTGTAACAAATCGTGGACAACACCTTGAGTTTTTTGATGTTTAAACAAATCCCTGACCCAAAATCGTTTTGTTATTATTTCAACTTTGTCCGACGTCAGAAAAAAGTTGGAAATATTTGGATAAAAAGTGGCGGGAAATTTTTTAGCCAATGATAGGAGCTCCGTCGTACCATCGGACGGTCGGGGTCGGAAAACGGACGCATGACACTCCGGTCTTTCACGTGTACAGTAGTGATAATAGTGATATACATGGTTTCTTTCTTTTTTTGGGGAAAATATATGAGAAAGAGTCTCATATATTAAACATGCTAATATGAGATATGAGAAACAGTTAAAATATATATGAGTCTCATATTAAAAATAGGAGGTCTGGCAACCCTACATACAGCACAGTCATCAAGGCGTCTTTTTTAGGTCTACATTGCGTCTGAACGTTAGAAGACTAAAAAAAGTTATGGTTATGTATAAAAAGGAGATTCAAAGACGTCTGACGACATCTTGTTGACCTACTTACGTCTTAAGCTTACTTTTCATGCATCCGTTTTTCCGTCATCCAAAAGTAGATTTTTCTATTGGTCAAATATTTTGGCGCCAAAATATTGAACCAATGGGAATACTTTCGAATCATCGGATTGACGGAAAAACGGATGCATGAAAAGTATAACGTAGAATGTCTTGGAAAAATGTCATTTAGTCGTTTGAAAGACGTTTAGGCTTTGTAACATACGAGCCATACGACGTCTTTCAGATGTCTTTAAGATGCATTGAACACGTAGCAGACATCTAAGAAACGCTTGAACTCGGTCTTGAAAGTGGTCTATGGACATCATAAGGACGATTTTAAGATGTCTACAAAAACTTCCCACCATTCCTTGCTCATTAATTCAATTTAGGAATTTAGAAGTTACTGGAAACCATTTAAAATGCTAAAGAACACCTTAGAACTTTAATAAGCCTCTTGGCTTTTGGAAAGTCCAAAACACTTAAAATTCAATTCAAAATTTCCAAAAGTACCAACAAGTACCTATTCTGTAGCGCTTCAGAACAATTTGCGGGAAACTCAGAACCATTTTAGAATGTAGTAATAGTAGTAGTAGTAGTACACATGCTTTATTGTCCAAGAAACTCTAAATCTTATTGACAAAGCAAACTTAATTTAAAACACTTAAATCTATTCATTATTAAAATTACAAATAAAGTATCTACATATAAAAACACTCAGAGTAAAAAAAGCAAGAACAATAGAAAAACAAAAATATCTGACAGATAGCTTCATATTTCTCAACAAACAGATAAAAAGCTATGATAAAAAAAGATTAGCAACTAATTTGGTTAATATGCATGCACCCAACAAGGTCTTTCAATATTGTCTATGGAGAACAATAAATAATTAGGAAAAAACAAATGAACAGTCTAAAATAGAAAAAAAAAACAATATATATAAATAGTTTAAAATGAGAAACAGTAATTAGGTAATTAGTATAATATATTTGAAAGTTTTCGTAAACTCATACAGATGGAAAACACTATCACACAATGAACAACAGAATATAACCAGGTGGGGTTCAATAGATAGCTTTTCAGTAGGTCCTTGTTTCACGGTAGGAGAAATTAAGAAATTCCTCAATAGAATAAAATGGTTGTGCAACCAAAATTTCCTTTCGTGCTTTTCGGAACTTGCCAAGATCCGACATGGACAATAGGCTATCAGGTAAGTGAATATAAATCTTTAGGCTGTTGTAAATAATTGATTTTTGTACCAGTGTGGTATGAGGAGTAGGAAGCATTTATGTTTGTCATGTGGTTCGAGATCTCTGGGTAGTTGGAAACAGATGAAGATTTTTATGTACCTATTAGACTAACAGTTTCCAGAATGAACAGTGAGGGGAGAGTTAGGATTTTATGGAGTACAAATAGTGGTCTACAATGAGTTCTTATCGGGGCACATGTAATGAACCTTATCGATCTTTTTTGCAGTTTAAAAACAGAGTCAAACAAGTAGATATTGACTATAACATCCCCAGAAAGGTAAGCCATATGGCTTACCTTTCTGGGACAAGATGTGACTCAAACACTGCATGATAGATTGATTTTGCAGTTTGTGAACCTAATAGTGGGTAGCTACGGCTCGGACACAATAACACCCTGAAGCGAGTTTTTTACTTAGTGATAAGATATGTGATTGAAATTTTAGACTGACGTCGATCTGAAGTCCAAGAAATTTAGTACTAGTGGTGTTCCAAAACATTCACCAACCGATTTACAATTTCCAAAAACATTTTAGAATACCTAATTCAGAAGTTTGAAACCCGTTTTAGGACGATCCAAAACACTCAAACACTCTTTAGAATCTCCAGAAACATTTTGAAAAGCGCCAGAATCTCAGGATTTAGGTTAAAAGTTACAAAGCGCTTTTTAGAAGGCGTTCTAAGAGTGAATTTAAATTGGTGTAGAACTTTAAACCTTTCAAGAACTCTTTCGAATCAATAGGTACCTATATGTTTCTGCAGAAATCACAAACCAGTCAGAGTGAATTTCATTGGTTGAAAACAGTCAGAAAGCTAGTTCAACCAATGAAATTCACTGTGACTGGTTTATGATCCTATAAAGTCAATAGGTTGTCTGGTAATGGGTAACTTGACGTTGATGACGCATCTGGGGTGCCCTATGGAGATTGCATTATGTTGAGGCACGTACCCACCGCTCTGCTCTCTAGTTTTTTGAGTAAATATGACTTTGTACCAAGTAGTTGCTGAACCAACTCGCATCACTGCAAATTTAAGTAGGTACTCTTTTAGACTTAATAGTCACTTCTAATAAAGAAGTTGTTAATTGTGTTAATCTCATTAAAATGGATTATATATCTGATCACAACCTGGTCGACTGCCTCGTTAATTTAAAAAAAAACCTAATAATAATCCTATTTTTCATAAATACTAATACTATCTAAATTTGATATTGATCGGTTTCTCAGATCGGTTTTCATTGGATTTTCACCGGGTTGATTGGAATATTATTTACACATTAGAAAATGTTGATGACATAGGTAATAGAGTTTATTAATAATAACATCTCTTTTATTCAATATCCATGCTCCATACAATTAAGATATCATCAAGAATCACTAAAGCTCGAGTCCCTTGGCTCACTGAGAACTTGAAATTAATGATGAGGCTTAGAGATGGGGCATTTGTGAAATATAAGAAAAATAAAATTGAAAATAATTGGAATTACTATACGGAGCTCAGGAATTTAGTTAACGCCACAGTGAAATTGGAAAAAAAGCTTTTATCAAATGTAAATCTAAATCAAGATCCAGTCCTAGATTATTTTGGAATACCTACTTATTAAATCTGATAAAAGCGGTATAAACTCTAGTTTCTCGGACACAACTGCATTAGATGATTATTTTATCAATAGTATTCTACAATTCGTTCGAAACCGTAATGACTCTACGAATGTACTGAATAAATATCAGGGAAGATTGCCGACTCTTTCTACAGAGTTTACATTTGCTGAAATATCTCAAGATGTGGAGAAAGCTGTACTCTCCATTCACCTGATAAGATTCAAACTAATACATGAAAATAATTAAAATCTTTATTAAAAAGGTAAATATTAAATTACAATCATAAATAAAAAAAATCATTACCAACACTAATATAAATCCATTCTTTCATTGTTTTTAAAAACACTATACTATAATATAATAGTCATCCGCCAGTAGGTACTTACTTTTCAAGAAGATAACTCTTCGTCACCGGGCAAACTTTGAAACGTGACTTTTGCCATCTTTCCAGTTTGTTGATCCTGTTCGTTAGAGCCATTTCTTACTGAAGATAGATCCGAAGCTCCAGTGGAAAATTGAAGCTGATCCTCTTGAGAATTACTAGTGCTCTTACTCAAAACTGGCGTTGAGGTTTTTTGTTGCTTAGCTTTTTCTGTGCTGGAATTCGCTTGAATTGCTGACAAATCAGAGCGATCCGGCGCAAAACTTGCCGGACTCGCTTCAGATTTCATACTACTTGAAGATATTTTACTAATAGCTTGCTTTTTGAGGAATTCTTTCAAGCTCACTTCTGTATTGCTAGGAGATTTCTGTGACCTGCACTTTTTAATTGAACTCAAATCCTCTGAAGTACTACCAGGGCTCAATCCTAAAGATTCTTTAGTTTTTTGTAGTGTCGAAATAGCCCAATCCATGCCAATGCTTTTAAGCATATCTTCCACGCTTCTCAACTCACCTGAGGAAGTTGTAGAAGTTACTTGGGACCCACTTGAAGAAAATGCAAAATTTGGACAACTATCTTTATCAACAACTGACTCTTCAACAACTGTTTCATCTGTAGGCAAAGTAGGTTCTTCCATTGTAGGACTTAAAGGTATAACAAGTTTTGAATTATTTGGACTAATTTTGGAAGAATCAGCTTCAACAATTGTAGATAACTCATGAGGAATCATCAAAGGAATATCTCCATTAAATTTTTTGGCAGCTATCAGGCCTTTAGAAGGAGGAGGATATCGCTTTGTTGGCACTGTATCATCAAATCCCTCAGGTTCAGGTTCTAATATAGGCAATTTCGGAATGTCTACTAAAAAAGGTATAAACGGAACCTCTTTGTTTATTTCAGGTAAATGATTATTTACGTCCTCTTCGGTTGGTTCCTGATGGTGACTTTCTTGGATAAGATTTTGAAGCCTCTGAAGAAAATGTTGATCTGTCTGATTTGATGAATCGTCTATCGTGGGTTGGGTTGATTCTGTTTGTGTATTTACAAGATTTATCTTTGGGCTTTCATCCTTTGCATATTGTTTCAGTTTATCTGCTAAACTCATATCAATATCCAATAGTCTTCTATTTAACTCTTCCTCGTTCATGCTAGTAGTAGAATTAGTGCCTTTGGATTTTTCGCCTGCAGGCGGAAATTGTAAATATTGAGTTGAAGAATTATCCTTATCGCTGATTGGACTGAGCAGGACTAAATCTGCCCGAGGACTATTCTGAGCTTGGCTCAACGGTGGACTTTGAAGCAGGTGGATTTTTTCTTGGCGCAATTGCTCAATCATGGCTGCCAGATTTGCGATTCTTTGTGTGCAACAATCGGTAACATCAGCAAATTGAGTCAGGAGGTGCTCTTTAGTTTTACTGTTATCGTCTTTTTCTGGAATTTGCATAGTAATATCTATTTAAGGCAAAATTAATCAACTGTTATTAAAATTCTTACCCTGATCTTTGATGTCTGAATGACCTGCAGATGAATTAGGTGGAGCATGTACTCGATCATCAGAACTATCTAAATGCCTAGCGATTTCAGATTGAGCATTAATAAAACTCATAATGTCACGGAGTTGAGCCTTGGGATTATTAGATTCTATTTCTATGATACTCTGACTTGGAGTTGGCACGTTGCTAGAGGAAACACCCAGTTCATCTACACTATTTCTTGACATGCTCAAGAGACGTTTGACGTACTGAAGAAGTCTTGGATCTATTTGTGAGTCTTCGCCTGGTGTACCTGGCATCGAGTGTTTTAATCTAAAAATATTTGGTGAGTAAAGGGTTAAAATCCATCAAAAACCTACCTCGTCTGATGTGGCTTCTTTCTTGGATAAAACTCTGACTGTTTGCTTATGTCAGTGCTAGCAGTAGAGTTAATTGTGGAAAAATCTGGACGGCCTAAATATGAAGTGCTGGAAGTGGAGTTTTTGCTGAAACGTTCTTTCCAAGATTCATTTTTTCTTCTTGGAGATGTTTTTTTTTCTTTTTCCAAAGTGTTTTTTTTTATGGGCTTTGGAAGTGGTTTTTTAAATACTACATCATCTGTTGTGCCTACCGATCTAAGTTCAGTCCTTTTTGAAGTCCTTTTCAATGGAGATATGTTTTCTTTATCAGTTGATTGTGATTTTAGAGGTTTAGAGGTTCTAGGCGATTTTGATGATTTTTCTCTTTTTCTCTCAGGAGATTTTGGTACCTTAATAAATTATTGCATTAAATGACACCAAAATAGATGAATGTGTAGTCATTATTTAATAAACATGTTTGGTATTATGGAATCTATTATGCTGCCGGATTCTATTTTACGAGTCGAGTCGAAATTCGTATCGAATTTTTAAAATAGCGATTTTTCGATACATATTACACGGTACGTCCGAAGCTGGCGTATTCCATTTCGAGTGTCACGACAGACAATTCGACTGGATTCGTAGAATAGAATCTGGGCCCTGTTTTATCCAATGGTACAATCTAGATAATAGTAGATGTTTTTTTAAGTTGTCATGTTATGTACTCTCGAATGTACTGGTAATGTTAACAACTATGTCATTTTTTGATTTTCAAGTTGTCAATTTTTACTCTCCATGCATGTAATAGTTAATGAAATATACTCCACAATATTATACTCAATAAAGCAGTTCTTGGTTATTTATGTCCACTTGCTGAAACAATAATCTCAAGAAAACACAAAGAACTTACCGCTTCATCTCTCCTTCTTTTCTCCTTATCTGCAGAAGAAGCACCCTTCACAACTTCAACTTTGGGCGAGTCATTGTCACCTAGTTTTATTAAAATTTTACAAACCTCCTCACAATCTTTTCTCTTGTCAGGGCATTCAAGGCATTTACACAACCCGTGACTTTTAGAGGAACCAACAGTTTCATGCTTTTCTTGCTGTTGATTTGAACTAGAAGTTGTGGTTGTTGTAGAAGAGGATGTCGAAGATTTTTCTTTTGTAGGTTTTGGAGTAGTTTGTGTGCTCGTATTTTGTAAAACGCGCACCTTATAGTCACGTTTTTTCGATTTTTTCTGTGGCGATCGATATTTTTTGTCTTTATGTGTTGACTTCATATCTGCATCTTTTTTCTTTTCTAACGATGTATCTGAACTTGAAGCACTTGTATCACTTTTTTCTCTGCGCCTTTTTCTTTCAGATTTATCTTTGTCTTTAGTTTTATGTTTACTAGACCTAAAAAAAAAATGTTTGCTTTAAAACCAATTCCTACGAATACCAAATTTTTACCTGTATCTTTTTTCATCTGAATCACTAAAAGATGTCAAATCCCCTAGCAATGCATTGATACTATCATCTGGAGGCAAAGCGCGTATCTCATTAATAAGCTGTTCTTTCTGAAGCTTGAGGCTCTTCAAAAGTTGCTTGAGTTTCGTTTTTCTATCTTCCGGTTTTTGCACAGTAAATGCCCTAATTATCTCTTGAACCTCTTCGGCAGAAAACATTGTCTTGGGCCTTGAATCTGTATCCCACTTGCCTAGATTCAACACCCTAGCATCATCACCGTCTAATATTTCAAATGGTTCATTGGTCATGGGAGGTTCATGTTGTCTGCTTGGCAAAGTAACAATTTGTGGTTTCAAATCAGGAATCGCTTGGGTGTAAGCGTTTTCCAATCTATTTTGACGTTCTCTTTCGCGTTTCCTCAATCGCTCCTCTGACATGTGATATTCAGGCTTGTCAGTGCCGATTTCGGAAATTTGCCGCTTCCTTTGTAATATTGGCAATTTCTTCATCATTTCTTCGTAGTCTCTTTGGACTTTTTCCTTTTCCATTGCTCTTTTGCCCCTGATTTGTGCTTCTAAATCGCGTTGCTTCATTTTTTCATGCCATTCTCTTTCAGATGTTATGTTGGGAACAACCTCAATACTATCTGCACTGATTTTTTCCACATTTGAGGTTGATGGCACATCTCTAATAAATCTATTAGGATGATCGTATTGGCGGACTTTTTGAGCCCCAGATGTGGTACTGCGAGGTTTTGTAGACTGAACTGATCTTTTCGGAGCTTCAACAAACTTATTTACATGAAGGGTACTGCTTTGCATGGAGTCTACTTTACTAGTTTGTTGACCGGCATCTTTCAATTTAATAGGAGGTTTTGTGGGTATTTTATCCTGTTCAGAAAAATCAGATGCTTTATAAGCTCCACTTGTCACAGTTTCAATTTTACTAGAAGAATCTGGCCTACAAAAAAATTAGTTGTTTTTAATTGAGTTTTACATCATCAATAATTACTTACCCTTTCTTAAATTTACTAGCAGGGGCACTTTTTGTATCACTAGCAGGGGCACTTTTTCTATCAACAGTAGTTGATTTGCTTACAGTTTCTTTGGAGTGGCAAGGACAACAGTTATGAAATTTAGTATTAACACATTCCATAGTTTCAGTGCTGAGTTGTAGTGGATCTTTATTCAAAGGAGCTTCTTGCTGAGAAGTAGATCTGGCTGATACTTTGTCACGAATTTTTGTAATTTCATCGACCTAAAATAATTGGTGATGGACCTACCTAATATCAATTCACTTTCTTCTTTTAGAATGGATAGGAAGCTATGAAAATCTGGTTTGTTTAATGCAAATTTTTGTCAAGAATAAATCCAGGTTGCCAAATGCTAGGGTTTTTATTTCTGTGACGATTAATTTAAGGCTTCCTTCCAATATAGTTGAAAAATACTTTCAAAAATATAAATGGCAATTGAAAAACAATGCTGCCATGCTTTTGGTCTTCCATGACCCCGTGTTCCAGAAAAAGAAAGTGAATGGTGTACCAAATATTTGCATTTTTTTCAGCTGAACCGTTCCACAAATGTTTTGTTCTAAATTTCATTCAAAATTGTCATTTAAAAATTAAATAATTATTATTTTTAAGGAGTGTGGTTTGAATGGTCAGAGAGAAACTGGAAAAAGTGAGAGAGAATAATCAGGAAGAATTGGTTAAGAAGGACGTCAGGAAAAGGAGCAAAAAAATTGTGAAAAGGTACATAACTATCAAGGGGAAACCAAAGGGAATCAACCTATCTAATTTTGTAGGTAAAAGTCTCGGTAAAAGTGCGTCAGAAATTCTAAAATTCCGGAGGCGAAACCATTTCGAAAAATGCGCTCACCAGAATCCCATAAAATCCTACTGGAATCAAATGGAATTCCTCTTCTTGTGAATTTTTAGAAATATTTTGAGCGCCAAAGGTGATTCAATAGAAATGTTGTCTGATTTAATTGCATTTAGTAAAAAAAAATCATAATTCCATTTCTGAGCCTGAGATCTGTTGGTGGTTTGTTTTATTTGATAAAAAGACCCTTCTCGATAAATCCTGAAAGTTTGAAGTGCGTCTGGTTGCTTGAAGTATTTTTCAGAAGCTTCCAAAGGTGATTTATTAGAAATTTTGTATGATTCTATTGCATCTAAGTGAGAAAAAATTCATAATTCTATCTCTGAAGATATTGAGTGACTCTGATTGAGTTCAAGAACAGGTCAATCAGTCAGAACAAGGTCGAACAAGTCGAGGACAATCAAAAGTAGGTATTAGCTGTCCCAGACACATCTTTGAAAATATTGAGAGGTTCTGATTGAGTTTGTGTCCTTGTCGAAACAAACTCGTTTAGAGCAAATCAGATTGATCAAAAAATCAGCTGAAGTACCGATAAGAGCCAATCAAATAATTACAATTCGTTTCTGATACATTTCTGACAACACTGATTTGTTTTGATTGAGCTCAGCAAACTCAGAATATCCAAAAATAGTAAAGAACAGGACAATCAGAGTCAGAACAAGGTGGAGCAGGTCGAGGAATCGAACAAGTCGAGGACAATCAGAAATATTTGTAAACTGTTCCAGACACATTTTTGAAAATATTGAGAAGTTCTGATTGACTTTGAAGTCCCCCTGATTGCTTGAAGTATTTTTCAGAAGCTTCCAAAGGTGATTTAATAGAAATTTTGCATGATTTTATTGCATATTGGTATTTCATAAGTGAGAAGTCGTTTCTTACTTGATGAATATGGAAATTTTTGTGTTTAATGCTGTTCTGGAGTCTAGAATTTTGTTTCTTTGAAGAATCGAAAAGGACTGATAGAGGAGCTGGAAACAGACCAAAATCAAACAAGAAAATACTAGAAAAATAGCTGTGAAGAAAACAGACAGGAAATGGAAGTGGGAAATCCAAATTTGGAGGAAAAAAATAAAAATAAGGAAAACCCTAGGGAAAAACTTGAAAAAAATGGTTCAAAAAAACTGAAAATAGCTACAGCTCAAATCTGAAAACAGAACAAGTAAAGTTTTGTCTTAGGTGTTGTCTATTTCAAGATCTTCTAATTTTTTGTTTTTGAAAAACAAAGCAAAAAGACCACTGGAAGAGCAAGAATTTTCCCAATTTTTCTTTAAAGAAAAACTGTGAAAAAAATTTGATACTTTTGCTAAAAGACCTGGAATCTGGAATACATACAAATACGTATACTTTACCTCAATTAAAGGACAAGGATCTGCAACAAAATCGCAATAATCAGGCTGAGAAACCATCAATTCCCTCCTTTTAATTCTATCTGAAATCCTCGTATCCACTGGCACTTCTCTAGTCCTATTCCTGAAATTTTCTATAATTTTTCTTTGCTCGTCCAAACTATCCTTATAGGACGTATCTCTAGATTTTTTTTGTTTCAGGGTTTTTGATTCTAGATCCAATTCTGAAGCAAATCTAAATGAATCAGAATTTGGTTCAGCTTGGACAGGTTTTTCATCAGAACATTCACAAAATCCTTCACTATTGTGATCACAAGATTGATCGCTATCGTTATTGCTTTCCTGTTGTATGTCATGGGGTTTTGAGGATTCTGAGGAGCTAGAGGCTTCGCTGAAATCTGAGTCATTTGGGATTGAGATGTTGATGTTGGCTTTTGTTGGTTTTTTGGTTTTTAACTGCAAACAAATTTTTAAATAAATAAGCCTAAGATATTATTCCGAGTATTATTCATTTACCTGTTTATTGTTGTAACATTTTCCCAAAGTTGAAACAAGGGCAGCTCTAGTATTCTCAATATCCCTTACAATTTTTTTGTGTTGTATAGGCAAGACTTTTTTGAATTTTTCTTCATTTTTTTGCACTTGTTGTTTGGCTTCTGCCAATTTGCCTCGGTTTCTAGCAACCTCTTTGTTTTCTTGTTGCCGGACTTCCAAAATTGCACTTTCATCTGCATATTTCTCAGCTACCTTATGGCCTAGTCCCATTTCCTTCAGAGAATTCAAATACTGGTTTTGGAGTTCTAAAAGTTTCTGATTTTGCCAGGACTTTAGTTTTTCTTTGCCCTCTTTTTCCATTTCTCCAAGCTGCCTTTTCTTTTCTTGTTTAACTTTGTTTCTAACATCTTGAGCTAGTTGTTTGGATTGTTTTCGAACTTGTTCTAATCTCATGAGTCTTTTTTGTTCAAATTCTTTTTTTGCCGCTTCGGGATCAGACGAGGTGATCATTTTACCACGTTTTATACTCACAGGATTTCCAGTTACAGTTACATTAATGGACATTTTTATTAAATTTGTTTTTGGGACAGTTTACTAGAGGAATAAAGCAAATATAACACAAATGCTTATAATAATTGGAAGATTATTTATTGCACAGCACGTTAGTTGCTCAAACGGTAAGAAATTTTACATTTTATAGATGAAAAACAGTAATAAATTAAAAATACTTTAAAAAAAAACAGTTGTTGTTGTTTGGTTATTTTTTTGAATTTTTAATGGCCGTTGACAGAAAAGTGACATTTGAAATAGGGCACTCCATCGACCTGTCAAAAAGAAATTCAAAATGAAGGTCAATGCCTTTTTATTTTAAAAAATGCCGTTTTATTGCGATTTTTGATTTGCATAAAGTCTGTAAAGTGTTGATTTTTTGGAAAATGCATATCTACGTTATGTATTGTACTCAGTTGTGGAACTGTGGAAGCCATTCTAATCGCGAGAAAGTCTCGTTTCATGCCGTTCCTGCAGAGACAAAACACAGCTTTTAACGGAGAAAAACGATTTGTCTGTACTTTGTAAGGGCTTCATGGATTGTAGCAAAAGAGAAAAAATCTGACGAAATCCATATTAAAAAACCAAAAAGTCTCTCTACATACACGGTGTATGAATCCAAGCCATTTACTATCCTCCACATCAACTTTGTGTCGATACCTTGAATAGCAGACAGACAAATAAAATATAAAATATACATCTGGATTTAGGATTTTGCTAAGAAAAAACTAAACAGGAAACAAATTCTGGATAGTACCTACCTATTTGTTTAGTAGGTAAAGATTTGTCACAAAGAAATCATAAGTTTAGCAAACAGCCGGGTTTTCCACTAATAAATTCTTGAACTAAAAACTCTCCTTTTCAAAATACGAAAATTATCCTTCCAAGCACTAGAAAATCATCTAAAAACACCACAAAATACACAAAGAACAGTTTTTTGATGATAAATATCACGGTTGTTTGAATTAAATTAATGCCGCCAATTTTTTGGCATTGGCCGCCATTTTGTTTGGATTGCCCTATAGGACATGACAAAGGAGGTTAAATCCGTAGGTGATATCCAAACTCAGTATAACGTCATCAAAGGTGCTTGCCACAGATTAGTGCTTGCTTCCCAATGAGTATTGAACACGCCAAACGATGACTTATTATCACGAATTACTTTATAAAGGGTGATTCAATTCCACATAAAAATATTTAAGAAAACACGAAATTCTCGACGTTACGTGTTTTTCTCACTACGTTCGACTCGCAAACCTACTGCTTCAGCACAAAAAAGTAAAGCTTCTGCTCCTAATACAACAATATACTATTGTTCATGTTTCTAGGTCTTTGGAAAAGATAGGTATAATACAATGTTTGATTGAAAACCCTCAAAAAAAAAGAGTAAATAGCCAAATTTGAAAAGTAGCACTCGGGAATTTCTCTTTAGACAAAAAATACTATCAGGAAGATCTCAAATACGTATCGGGGTATTAAAGGGGGAACCAAAATGAGGACCTTCTTTGAAAGGTTTTTAATTCCTCTTTAGAGGCATGACCATTTCACTTCAGCTACAATATAGAACATGATCACTTGACTCTTCATCTGGAAAACACAAAAACAATTTTGCCTGGCAAAGTTGAAGAGCATTCAGCTATTTTATTAAAGCCCCATTAGGCTGAATTCACTTGAAACCACTTTGTGTAGCCGACACCCAACAGCAAATCATAATTCAACCATTTCTTGTCAGTATTTGGTAGTGCCCGACTGCTACACTTACCTTTAATAGTATAATCATGTAACAAATCAGATCCTAACCTATTATGGCGGATGGCTTCCCCGGGGGACACCATAGGCTCTCCAAACCACGTGATTTTTCAATATGGCGACCGTGGAAAATTTGACGTTTGTTTGTTTATCTTGAGTTTATTTGGAATATTTTCAAGCTAATTACAGTTTACTTTGTTATAATATACTTTTTGAGATGCAGAGTGAATATTCAAAGACTTGAATGCAGGAAAATCGGGATCTGGGCGAACGGTTAGTTCAAAAAAATGTCCAGATGACATTTTGATCCACAGTTCACATTAATGAGCAAATGAAGGTCTACGAAAGCTTAGATTCTTACGAATATTTCGAAAATGGCTTTATTTCAGATGCAGGAACAGTGGTAGTGAAAAATTTTCACGTTTTAATTGGAAAATTTTAAAACAAAGGGCAATGAAAAAAGCCTGACATCATCCTTGTTACCTTGTTGAAACTACTTCCACAATCAACTTCAAGACCCGTTTGTGGCATTTTTAATTGGAAGAAACACTAATGAAGTCAATAAAATAAAAAAATAAACAGAGTTCATCCACAAAACAACCACAAAATGCACTAAAAAGCTTTAAATTAGGTACATACTCTCATATACGGGATAATGAACTTCCGCCACAACACATGTACAGGGTGGTCAGAAAATAGAAAAATATACAGGGTGTTTCCTAAGTACGGTTCGTAACTTTAGGATGTGATAGGGTCATTTCACTGGTTAACCGGCCATCACCGCTTCTCGGCCATTTTTTCGTTTAATGTTGAAAAATAATAAAACTACAGCACGTATACATATTCTCGATGCTTATCTGACTCTCTGTATCTTTCTCGTACCCATATGACTTTGGATGTTGTTAGGGGTGCAATTGGTTTAGACCTCAAAAATCATTTAGTAGAAGTCTACTCAAGTCGCGAGTACGACGTTTGTTATTCTTGAAAAGTGCTTAGTGATGTTTGAGCAGAGAATAGTAAGTATTTTAACATTTTTATGTTAGAAATGTATGGAAAGTGTTTTTACTTATAGGAATATATTTTACCTTTATAATTTTATGACAAAATCTTATTAAAACTATTTTTTTTCATGAAATTTCAGGCGGCCGGAAAGTAGTAGGTACCTATTGAAAAAAACACGTATTTTAGTTCTCGGCCACTCGTTTAATGTTTCTATTTTGAATTCATTCAGATCTTGTAAATAGCTAATACATAATAAAATTTTTAACAAGTACATTTGGATATCTCCTTTTTATATATTAGTTTGCGGCCGTCAAATATTACATAAAATAATGTTTGTTTCGAACTTCAATTTTCATAAATATTCAGGGGCCGAGAACTACCTTATCTCGGCCACTAGTAGAGTTCAGTGGCTGAGAACCCATGGATCCATATATTTTGTGTGTTTCAATTGTCGGCCATTATAAAATTCCTGATTGCATGTTCAATGGAGTTAGGTACCTATACCACCTACCTAAAGTAAAAGTACCCATCATTTACGATAACTCTACAGACCTAAACAATTTTGCAAAGAAAAGTTTTTGTTTCTGTCTTTTTTAGTGGCTCCCACAAAAAAATAGTGTAAGTTCCAAGAAAAAAACAACTGTCAGACCCAAGGCAAAAGCAGTAGCTATAAACGAACCATGTTTCAATATTCTGAAAACGGAAAGTACAATTTTTTTTTTTTTCAAATTTAGTAGGTTTATTTATGATAACGAAAGGTATCTTTTGACTGTAATATGACTTGCCTAATCTGAAAAAAGTTTCAAAGGTTTAAAAAAATAGTGACGTGCTATTTTTTAAACTTTTATCAAAAAACCCTCTATATTTTTTTATTTTCTGACAACCCTCTACATGCTATTTTAAGTTTTAATAGTTTAATATACCATTTGTTCAAGAAGCAGAAACTTTTGTAAGGAATAACTTTTTTTCGTAAAATTGATAATAAAAAAGTTTCTCATATGCTGCGAACTTAAGTAGACACACTGTATAACTTTTCAATCGATCCACACTGACCAAATATAGCGACGTCTCACTAAAGTCCTTCCTTAATATGTCGCATCAGTTTCTAGATACTTGTGTTTCAAATATGGGGCCGTCCCGCCTTAATTTCTTATTGGATTTTTGAAATGCCTGATACAATATCAAATGTATTGTTCGTCGATTTTTAACTGACACTTGCGGTATGAGGAGCGAGGGGATATTTCATATGGCAAAAACAGATGTGACGTCAGGTAACCATTGGCGTTCTAATGTAGGGAGCCACCAGCTAACATTCCGTCCGAGTATCAGATTAAAATCGACAAACAATATGTAACAATAATTTGATCGACCAGTCGTTATTTAATTAGAAAAAAATATTGAATTTGCCGATAAAACGAGTATATTTAAAACGCGCGCGTTACGTGACGTCACATGTCTCTAACCAATAGTATTATAGTCTAACAATTTGTCGTCAGAGCTAGAAATCAACCAATCAAGGGGCCATAATGACATTGAAATCTGTCAATTCTGTGTTGATTTTTGGGAAATAAATGAAAGAGGTATATTTGGTTGCCTATTTTTCAGGGTTAGGACGTTATGGATTATTTTCGTTCAATGAACTATAAACTACACTTACCTGGAATGGCACCGACCGTTGTCGTATATGGCATTTGTATGGCATTTGTCATCTCTCTTAGTGCGTCCAAAGAAAGCTATATAGTGGGGGATCCCTTTCTCTCTTTACTTCATTGCTGTTAGATTTAGTGTATATTCCTAACCTCAAATTTAATATTTTTTAGACAAGGAAAGATTTTCATAAGTGACGCATAAGGTAAATAGAGATAGGAATCCCCTACATTCTCCATCTCAATTTGCCGCATTTTAGAGATAGGCCGGGCCATTCCAGGTATGTGTAGTTTATAGTTCATTGTTTTCGTTTGTCTTCCATTGGCTGGAGACACAATACGTCATAAGGGCGCGAAAACATCAATTTCAAATAATGGCAAAAACTCAATCTTTAATAAAATTATTATGTTTCAATGCATAATTCTAATAAGCATATCAAACGGTATGTTAGTGTACTAGAAGTACTTGTCTTACATTGGAAACATTGATTTCAATTTAGCGGGACGGCCCCATTCTGTGCACATTTGTAAGCAAATCTCTACGTTTCCATAAACCTACAAACACTGTAGAACGCATCGATTCCCAAACACCGGATCAGAAATATTCACGATTCTATAAGTTTTTCTGTAAGCTACAGTAAGTGCAGAGTTGCAAATTGTCTATAGGCAGCTATAGGCTTAAAGAAAGTTAAATATTTGCTTACAGATGTGCACAGAATTAACCTGTATGTGTTGTTACCTGTTATCGGTAGGTATCTAACATCAACATATTTTGTTAATTTCATTTAAAGTATAAACCCTAAATTATTCTCCAATTTTGAAAGTTTTTTCGACGTTTCAAGTTAGTCTTTTTGCCGTTTTAAGTTGGTTTTTTCGACGTCTTAAATCGATAGAGCGAGTCTAAATTAGTCAGAAACACCTCTAACATTTGAAAATTTCAATGAGAAAAAAAATCCAAAAAGGAAATCTAATTTTTGGCTGTGAACATTTTTTGGAATCTTGACATGCTTGACATGAATAACTGATCATATCTTCAATAATTTTTGAGAAAATTGCCTACAATTCAGCATCATTAAAAAGAGTTCTAAATATTCTATAAGCCCTGCAAAATTGGTTTTTGTAACTTGTGATGTTTCCGTGTGAACTTCAAAGTTGAAATTTGGTCGACATTTTGTCTAAAACTTCGAACTCGATTTTCTCGAAAACCATTAACGTAAGAGAGTTCAGGAAAGTAGAGTGCTACTACTACTACTAGGTACCACTCCAAGAGAGTTTACTTTTAAACACCGATATCTAGAAAACTAATCGTACAATTTAAGATTTTGCTATAAAACTGTAAAGGGAAAGCAACGAGCTATCCAACGATGTACAACACAAGAGGCTCTTATTTGAAAAAAATACGTTAGGGTAGCCACCCCCTAAGGGGGAGGCTGGGCGACTCAAACAGTGGTCATTTTGGTTTCCCCTCCAATCCCCTGATACATATTTGAGATCTTCCTGATAGTATTTTTTGTCTAAGAGATATTCCCGATTGCTACTTCTCAAATTGTCACCCTCTATGTCTGACTTGGAAACATCACTGTCCGGCAGTTATACCATACATCAGAATTAACTAGTAGATTCCTTCCAGTTGTCACCGCTGAAAAGTCATTCGGTAAATTGAAAATTTTAAAAGACTACTTGAGAAATTCCATAAGTCAGCATAGACTGAATGATCTTTCTATTTGATGTGTCAGACATAGCACAGCATCCAAGATGGATATTCGGTGTTTAGTTGCTCCAGAAAAATTATCCAATGGATCAAGAGCCACAGATAATCAAAATTTGAACTATTACCGGCTCTTGATTCTTTGGAAAACCGTCCTAGAGCCAATCAAGACTCAAGAGCCGGTTATAGTCAGAATTTGAACTTTTATCAACTCTGGATTTGCTAGAGAATTTTTTTAATGGCATTCAAAGCTCAAGAGCCGAAAATAATCAAAATTTCGATTAAATTGATTGTGATATTTGCTTAGGGGCCCAGTGCATCCCACTAAGTATTTAAGAATAGTTCAACATCAAAACTATCCAAAACGGTCGACTATCCTAGTGAAGGTTAAACCGATAAAATCCAAATGGAACTAAAACTTTCGGTTTGTTAATGGAAAATCCCAATTCGGCCAGAAAGGGAGATTAAACCATATTCTTTGTTCTCATAAATCCAATGCTGACCTACATACTTTTTGGGGCAGCACGAGGAAAAATGCCCGTCGGCACTTGCGCTCTGAGAAAAGCTCGTTCACAAATGTGGCGTCCCGCGACCTACAAAGAGATGAAAATTCGATATCTCAACCTTAAACTTAAAAAGTGAATGAATATTTACCTCTTCAAATCAAGGTTAACGTATGAGATTTTACTGAAAGGTTAGTACCTACCTGTGTTTTTAATTCGTCATAAGTTTAAGACATATTCATTTAATCACAGCTTTATTTGATTTTTTTAAGCTCCTCATCAAACAAATAATTTAAAATATCATGTCGCTTCTAGTTGTTCGGTTATATTATGCTTATGCATAATTTTTAGAGCCATGATACACAATTTTAGAATCATTTGTGTAAAGATTATCCTTTATTCAAACAAAAATGTTATGCCTTAAACGCATCGGTTATACGCATTCTCTCCGTGATTTACATTAACCAAACGCAAACTGATTAAATTAAACCCTGTCCATTTGCATCTTGACTTCCAAATAAGCCTTTTGCTGTTTTGCAGCATGCTAATGGAAACCGCCGTGGGCATCCAAGCAGACTCGCTCACGTGCGATGAGAATCCGGCCCAATTGGAAACGGAATGGCGTCTGAGAGCGGAAAAGGAATTAAACGAGACCCCGGAGAATTACTTAGTGGAAATGCAAACATTACAAGATTTAATATTAAGTGAGAATTAAGAATTATTATAAGTTACAGCTGATTTTAGCTGTTTGAATTTTTTATAGATGACTCAAACTTAACAGTGCCTAACACAAATGAATTTCCACTTAGATTTCTAAGAGCTAGAAAATTCAATAGTACAAAGGCCTTTCAAATGGTAAGAAACTCAAATACGAATAGTTCGCAACTATATTGCTATTTTCTAGCTTCAAAGGTATTACTTAATGAAGCTGAAGTGCCCCGAGCTGTTCGGTTGTCCGCTTCCTACGGAATGTAGCAAAACTTTTGAATTGCAAGCGCAAAACATGTTACAGCACAGGGACCAATGGGGCCGGAGAATTTATGTGATTCGTGTCGGTAAGAAAATTGAAAGTTTGTTTCAAAAAATGTCTTCACCTTCACCCCTCAAAACCACTCTGAATTCTCTTCTAATTAGCTGTCACCTTGAAGGAGACAACCCACTATACTTTTCCCTTTTAATAGTAACACATGGACTTTTATTTTTATAAGGGAGCAATTTCGAGAAAAAAGTAAAAGAGTTCTAGGAAAACATCAAAACTCAAAAATCGAGTCGATCACTTTTATATGTTGTAATTTTGATCCCATTATAACTTCCGACCTTTCTAGTCAAAGAAGCCTAATAGTTAATCTATCACAAAGATATTTGATACCTATTCTAGTTTTCTGTTGTGATAATTATGTTTATTTTTAGATAGTTTCGATTCTAGTAAAGTAACAATAGACGACATATTCAGGACCAACGTCTTAGCCCTAGAACAAATAGTTCGCGAACCAGAAACTCAAATTTCCGGCCTCGTAGTCCTCCTGGATATGGCTGGGCTTTCGTTGCAACACGCCAAGTTCTTCACGCCTTATTATGCGAAAAAAATGGTCGAACTAGTACAAGAGACTTTCCCGTTGCGTTTCAAGGGGTTTCACGTGGTTAACGAGCCTTTCTATTTCGACGCTGTCATGACTGTTTTGAAGCCTTTTCTCAAGGATAAAATTAGAAAGAGGGTAAGGACTCTTACTGGCTAATTTGGAAGCTAATATCAAACACCTTTTAGATTTTTCTCCATGGTAATGACATAGACGCACTTCACGCCTTTATACCAACTGAAATTTTACCATCTGAGTATGGAGGAGAAGCTGGACCCTTCGATAATAGAGGTTGGTACATGAAATTGATAGCTGAAGAAGAGTATTTTAAAAGTCTTAAAAACTATGGCTACAAATCTGATAATTAATTATTATTAGGCAACTCTTGACCAAAATGAGTGTCTAGGTAAATCAAAGTGTATTTTTTGATGCTTATTCGCCTCCTCCTTGGATCTATATTTAAGATAAATGAAATCAAGCTCAACATGTAGTGACGATAATAATAATAATGGTTTGTATTAGTGGTTATTAGAACACAAATTTAAAAAAATTAGTGCCTTGAATAAAGAGCCAAGATTATAATTATGTATACAAACCTTTTTCTTAATTTAATTTACTCGAAAATAATTTCCAAAATAAATATAGATATAAAATGTTGTTTGAGAAAATAAATTGCTTAATTTCAGAATTGTAGTTTTTTATTTTATCAAAATAGAACGAGGTCATTCATGTGTAGTAATTTGATGTGACATAATGATATGTCTTCGATTTTAAGACAGTTTTCTTTTATATTGTGAAAGTTGTCATTAGATCTCATCAAATAAGGGTTTCTTAATATCGCTATCTGGTTGTGTAGTGGAATTGGATGTATGCGATAAAGAATGTAAGATTTATCTAATATCAAAGGAATTGCAACGTAGAATATGATTAGGTAATTCTTAATGGTGACGTCTGCGTGTGCAACTTCATAATATTTTATACTGTTATCAAAAGGGATTCGAGAGCTGGGATCAAATTTCGAGATTATAACTCTTGATACTTAAATAATATACTGTGATGCATTATGTTTATTTCTGGGACATTAATTGCCGTTCGTACATTAGTGCGTGTCTCATGAATGATACGTAGATTATCAAGTAAGACAATAAAGTACGTCGTTGTTGTCTCAGACTGCGTTATTGTCATGAGGCCATTAACTCGGTTTAACAAAGTTTCTTGGTTACTTTTAATTTTATAAAATTGTGTATCTATATCTTCCGTCAATTTTTCAACAATTGTCTGAGTTGAAGATATGTCCTGTTGTATTGTGTTTTGATTTTCTTGGAGGGTTCTGATGTAATTATCATAGCGTTCTCCGTCATCAGCATCTAACGTGCCGTATAGGTATTTTCGTGTCTTACCTAAAAAGTTGAAGAGTCCTCTTTTGGTTCTTTTTTGTGGAGTTGTATGTATGATCGATAAATAATTCGATTGATTTTACTGGATCAATAAAATTATCTGTTCTCACAATTAAAAGATCGTATATACGTAAATAAGGTGATATTATACTCGAATTGCTTAAAGTTTGATTATTTATTTATTTATTTATTTATTTATTTAGGATACTTCCTACAAATACTATGTCCATAAAAGACAAGAGTGCAATATAGACCTAAAACTAAAAAGGTACTTACAATAGGAAAACAACAAATACAATGCTGGTTTAGAACTCACTCAAACTAGATTTTATCTCACTCAAACTAGCTGCAAATAGGCTTTAGTATTAGTTTTTGACACTGCTAAATTGCACTGTTTCAGCATATTATTGAAAGGCGAACAATCCCCTGGATTTACACAAAAAATTTTAGGATTAATGAGTCTCAGATTAGCTTAGGTACTAATAGTTTCACATAATCTATCAATGACAAATATCTATATTCTACATAATAATATAATATACGAATATCACAGCTTGCATTTTCCTTCTGTGCTCTAATGTTGCAAAATCGAAACCTTGTAACATTATGGGTCCATATATACGGATAGGCATTATTTTTACGGACATACAGGTATCTTTAAAACCTTTTTTGTACTTTCTCAATGAAGTTGATGTTAGATTTAGCTCGAGGTGCCCATATTACGCAAGCATATTCTTAATGTGGTCTCACTAGTGCGTTATACAACCTAGTCCTAACAATGGTGTTCAAATTAATAAAATATTTAAAATTTCTTATGATAAAACCTTGAACTTTATATCCTTTATTCACAATATTATTATAATGGTCGTTAAATTTAAAATTAGACTGAAACAATGCTCCAAGATCACTGTATTCCGCCCTTCTCTTAAGTTTTATGTCATTAATAAAATAGTCAGAACTTAAATAATTAACTCTACGGGTAAAGGTTATCACAGCGCACTTATCTATGTTCAGGTACATTCTGTTTTCCCGGAACCATTCACAGGCTGCTATGAGATCATTCTGCAGCAGGATACAGTCATTTAGCGAACCTATGGTTTTGAACATTTTTAAGTCATCAGCAAAGATCAAACTGGATAAATTAACTATGCATTCAGGTAAATCGTTAATGAAGATTGCAAACAGAAGAGAGCCCAGATTACTTCCCTGGGGGACCTCTGATGTAGCCAAAATCTCATGTGACAAGAACCCTCCCACTCTGATCTGCTGGAATCTATTCTCTAAATATGACATCAAAAACAACAATGCCTTCCTTGGAAAACCAAAATTTGCCAATTTATTCATATACAATCAGTTATAATTACATCCAGCTGATCCCTACTATTATCTTCCACCACACCCCTAAATACCATCAAATTAGATACTGTTAATCTGTCAGGCAAAAAACCATGCTGTTGACGAGTAAATTTGTATTTAAAATTCTCCATAATATTATCATATAATACGGTCTCAAATATTTTTGCCAATGAATTAAGAATACTGATGGTTCTATAATTCTCTATCTTTTCTCTACTATTGGTTTTAAAAATGGGTATAAGGGTAGATTATTTCAATCTATCTGGAAAGACGTTGGACATAAGAGCTAGATTGAATATATATATATAAGTGGTGCAACAAGCAAGTCCACATATCCCTTGAATATACATGCAGGAATGTTAACCTTCCCACTAGCTTTTTTAGGTTTAGGTTTTTTTATGTTCTTCCTAACAGCTTCTTCTGTCACTATTGAAAAACTAATTTCCCCTTGAGATTCTAAACGTTTAGCTGGAGTGGAATGCTGATAAACTGTTCTAAAATACACTGCAAATGCATTTGCAATGTTATTGGGTTCCCAATAAGTAATGCCGTTGCTAATGATTTCTGAGGAGATGCCTCCTGAGAGACTTCTAGATTTGGCAAATGTCCAAAAAGTGTTTGGATCCTGATTCACGTTATTTTCAACACTTGCATAGTATGCTTCATACTCACTTCTGTTTGCCTGACAGCTGGGCTAAGGTCACGATACCGATTCCGCAACAACAGCTTAACAAGTTGGCCCTGTCCCTAGCTACTCGTCTGTGCAAACTGTTTTTTGTTCTTATTTTTCTTACAAGGTCTATAAAAAAAAATCTGGGAAACTTATTGAGTTCGAATTGTTTGTTTGCTTTTTGGGAACAGTTTTTTCAATACATGACAAAATTTTTTCAACGTGTCAATACAAATGTTGATATCATCCCTCTGCATGAGATCTTTCCAGTTAGTGGATTTAAGCAGATTATACAACCTAACAAAGTCAGCATTCGCATAGTCATAAATGTATGATGAATGGATTTGACTAAAAGCAAAGGAATTATTTTTTAGCTTCACAGACAAGTCCAGGGCAGGATGATAGTTGTTTTCCTTCACCAGGGGACATTCGCATCTCCTACACTCCAAAATATTCAAATTAGTCAATGCTTAAACCTTTCTATTCATGAAATTGGGTATAATGTTACACTGTTTGAGATAACATATATTCAGCATTTGATTTAAAAGTAATGATCTATCACAGTTGGTTATTGGGCCAAAATAGGGCAAATTAAAATCACCTACAATCACAATATCTATATTATCTATATTTCCCAAGGCTACCCCTTCAATACCCCTCAAGAAATCTGTCAAAACTATCTAAACCAGCATTTGGCGGAACATATACACAACAAAAATATATAAAACTTTTTTTAAATTTTACTTTTACTAGTAAATCCATCATTACACTTTCAGAAGACATTTTCCTATTAACTGCAATGATAACTCCTCCTCCTCTTGTCTTCTTTCTATCTCTATCCTTTCTGAATACACTGTATTTGGTGTCAAAGAGCTCAGAGTTATTTAATACTGCTGGTATTTTTTTTTTTACTTATCCTTCTGCTTGAGGGTCCATCCCATTTGGCAGCACCCTCCTTTTCGGGAAAAAATGTGAGACTATGGCACCATTTGACCAAACCTCCCTTTTCCACGCATTCCTTAAATCGTCTTGTTCCAGCGTTACCTTGATTGATGCATAGTGTTCGGGATATTTTGAAGGATGTTATTCGCATTTAACATTTGAAAACAAGGGTTCCAGAAACGCTTGAAGCTCCTCTGGCTTAGTGTTTGGAGACAGTCTAGTGACATGCAAGTATGCAACCCGCGGGATAGCCTGAATAGTATGGTCTTTATCTTTTTTACCCACAACAAACCTTCTTCTTTTTTTCACAACCTGCCCTTAATTATCGCAATTATTAAGTATCATTATTCTGGTCTCTAGTTACGCCTTCGACTTGACTATTTTGTTTCAGCTTAAGCACCTCATTCATACTTCGGATTTTCGCTTGTAATACGGCAGCATTAACTTGGTTTTTCATGATTCTGTTATTGTTTTGAAAATTGAAATTTCCACCATAACCTCTATTTCTTTGGTTATGATTTGTGTTGTTTTGATCCATACCAATGGCACCACAGATTCTGTCAGTCTCTAGAATTGTTGCATTCGCATTGTTGCTAACGTTGCTATTTGAAGCACAAGCCACTGGTTTGGTGGAAATATTTACACCATCCTGTTGACCAACCTATTGCGCCCAAGTTTTCGCTGTTGACATTGATGTCTCAGCTGATTTTAGAACATTAGGTACTTTCAGCAATGTTGTCAGATTTATGCCGATTAGAGAAAATTACTTCTTGATTACTTAGTTTTTCTTCTAACTTTACATTTTGATAGAGAAGCTTTTCTTTTGCTCTTAGCTTCAATATAATTTTATCCCTACTTTGTAGAAGATCATCCTTTGCCGATACAATTTAGTTCATTTCCTCGCCAAATTGCGCGGTATCCATAACCTCACTTGACTTCTGACCTTTCACCAGATTATTCTTTCCCACGGCAGTTAATCCAGCTATCCTCAATGCACAAGACGTGTGGTACACTGATTCACACAAGACACATTTTGCCGTAGAATTAATCACATTACTCTTACAATATTTACAATTTCCCAAGCTGGTCGATTTTAACTTATCATCACCAGCCATGTTGCCATGTTTTATTAACTTGTAAAAGGGTTAATTTTGTTGACTCTATGCAATCTTTCATATTAGTTAAATTTGCATGATAATAAACATGATGATAATTGGTTATTATGTAACTAGTTCCTTGGTAGACTGGCAGCAAAGGATTTGTTATTTCTTCGATCTAATATTGAGCATTGATAAGTAGTGGTAGTACTGTGAAGAATGTG